CATATAAAGGAGTTGTTCTTACTCTTCTCGTAGTAGGAGCTAGCCCAATAGGTAAGACTTTAGGCTCATAAGTCGCAGATGCAGGACTTCGAACCCGACATACCGAAATTGGGCTAGCTCCTTTTGTCGGACTAGCCCGATCTCAGAGCAGTATGGCGCGGCCAATTTCGGTCGTGCCATCATCGAGATCAAGTGGCTGAAATCAGCCGCGTCGTCGATCTGCATGGCCCCTGCGCAAGGATGGTACGCATAAATCATGGATCCCCGACGGGGCTCGAACTCAAGTCTGTGTTTCAGGCTTTCAACAGTTGGTGGGTGTACAACGAGTTCGGAGTGGCCATCATGATTGACTTATGCCATTGGGAGGGGGGGCGGGGGGGGGGGAATCTCTTTTGCTGTGATCGCAGCCCAATACAAGGCATTCCAGGATTAGTGTGCGTATGAGGCGAGTGAGGCAGTTGATGCCTCACGTGAGAATTGCCCTACCTCGTTCGCAAGGCACCTGGAAAAAAAAAAAAAAAAGAAACTTCGTTCAAAGCTTCGAAAGGGGGGGGGAATTATTTTTTGTTTTTTTTTGGTTCGCGCCAGCATTTGTTTGATGGCCAAAATTATTTTTTCTGACTTTGAAATGTTTTTAGTGGATGCGTAGGTACCTAATCCACACGCTTGATTTTTTTCGGAGTTTTTTATATAGCGAGTTTTTGATTAAAAATTATCAAAATTGTGGTACTTTTTGGTACCCCCATTTAATTGTCATGGGGTTTGAACTTGGGCCTGCCTTTCAGCAGGTGGGGTGGCTCAACAGGCACTGTTGAGCACACCCTGCCAGTAAAGCAGGGCTGAGGGAAAACGAGGTAGTTTTTTTTTTTTTTTTTAATTATTTCTTTTTTTTCTTTAATTTACTTTTCTTTCCTCTTTTGGGGAAAAACAAGGCTGCTAAAGCAATGAAAGAGAAGAAGAGTTGGGAAAAAATAAACGGCCGCGAATCTGATCACGGCCTCAGACCAAATGCAGGGCAAAGAAGCATCTGGATCTTGAGTTGACAACAAACTGTTGGGTTTAAACAATCTGTTGTAAATGGCTTAGTTCAACCATTTGCAGTTGCGCCTGGCCTGGGGTAGCAGCCAAGTGCATTGCTGGGGCTGGTAACCTGGTGTTCCTAGGGGGACATCATCAAGGATTTCAGCCCTTGATCTCATTTTTTATCAAGGGCAAGCCCAACTACGATTTTTGGCAGAGGCCAAACAACTGCCCTCAGCCTTTGGCCAGCTATAAAAGTTGGGCTAGCCAGTTGCTGCCTCACACATTTGAGGTGTTGCCCACACTCTACTTGAGTGCAGACCAGCTGGTGAGAGCAGTTGCTGGAGCTGCTGAGTGAGGAGAGATTGTTGGCTGGAGAAGTGGAGGTCTGCAGTGGAGGCTGAGAGAGGAGGCTGCCATAGCCACCATCTCAGCAAGGGTGGAGGTGTTGTCGGCCATAACAGCAGCCATAGTGATGGCCGTGGGGGGGTACTGCTACTTTTATTTGGCAAGTGTGGCAGCGGCGCGGAAGCGCTGCCCAATTTTCGGTGACATCGACAATATTTTTGATAACTTGAACGGTGCGGAAGCGCTGCCCGTTTTTTTTGTGGCGGCAGTAGCATTTTTTACAGTGGTGCGGTAGTGCTGCCCGATTTTTGCGGCGATGGCGGCGGTATCTGCGATAGTGGTGTGGTAGTGCTGTCCGATTGTTTCGGCAGTGAAAGGCATTTTGGTGAGGTGTTGGGTTACACTTTCAAAATTTTGACTCGGTGGCAACTTATTTATGGAGGGAAGTGTTGTTCGTTTGGCGGCACGTCGGCGACACTATTGCAAAGGAAAATGTTGTGGATGTTTTGCGTCGCATTGGAGCCGTTTTTTTATGTGTGATCTGGCGGTGGTGCTGCGGGGCAGCCATGGTACTGATTGATGGCGTGACGAGTGGTGGTTCGCCGTTGTGTGTTTTGTGGCACTGGTGCACATTCGGGATCGTGCGGTATTGGTGTGTGGAGTGGCGGCGCGACATGGAGTGAGTGCACACGATGATTGTTGGAGCTTGCGACACTTACGGTTTTCATCGGGGGCCACCTTTATTGTTTTGCGGTATGTGGAGCGAACAGTGTTTTTAGTATGAGGCCATCCGGTGCTGCGACAGAAATGTGGAACCGTCTGGGACCATTTGGGACCAGGTGGGACTGATTTTGAGATTGGGGCTGGCATGATGGCGTGACATTTGGTAAGCGGACTTGGTGATTGGAGGAGGTGTGGACTTTCGGCTGGTTGGGGAGTGTCCTTAGGGGACGTGATGTTGTTGGGACTGTTGGGACCACGTGGGACTTACTGTTGAGAACACCCTCCTAGAGGGTTATCTCATTTGAGTCCTTTCAGTGGACCTGCCTTTTTCTCATTCGGACGCTTGGAGGAGAGGTGAATGTTACCGCCCCTTAGTCTGCCTGAAGGCTCGTTTCAAGAGGCTAGCGCTCTCTCTTGTCAGTCACATCGCCCTGTACCAGTGTAAAATCTGCCCTCTCGCTCTTGTTCCTCATACGGAGCCTTTGGCATTTCCTCTGTCGTTGCCATGCTTTTACGTCTTGAACGCGATAGAATACTGGATTCGTGAAAACCTAACAAAACGACAAAACCTCGCATTTTTTATAAAATGAAAAAGTAAAAGTCGAACTGTTATTTTTTACACAAAAGAGAGCGTTTTTAACTGTTTTTCTAGGTTACCAGTCGTCCGATGGCAGGACATCTCGCCCGGATGTCTCCCCCAACCGTCCGGTAGGGGGGTTGTCCGGGATCCCGGACAACCACTTTTTGGCATTAAAAAAATAAATAAAAAAAATTGGGATGTTCTTGCGCAAGATTGGGAGATCCCCCAAAAAACGTTTGGGGTGATTTGGAGCATTTCTGGGAAAAAAAATGTTTTTGGGGGTGGGGGGGGGTTTGGGGGGGTGGTGTGGGGTGTATGGAAGGGTGGGGGTGATGGAGTAGGCGGATGCAGCTGGTGTTGCATGTAGTGATGCGTCTGCAACACTTGCTGCATGTCCATACACCCACATCCACACACATATGTGCAGTACAACACACACACACACACACTGTGACATGTCCTCCTCCTCTATCTCCTCCTTCTCTGTCATCTCGTCCACCTCATTCACTTACCCATTCGTCTTTTTCTTCGTCTTCTTCTTCTTCTTCTTCTTCTTCTTCTTTTTCTTTTTCTTTTTTTTTTTTTTCTTTTTTTTCTTCTTCTTCTT